AGAAAACTATGAAAACATTTTACGCGACAATATTACTAGTTCTTATGAGAAAACCCCTAAAAATTTGGAAAACGCAATTAATTTAAAAGCCCAAAGTAATGCTAAAAAAATAAACCTTGATAACAGAATCGAATATACTGCCCCTGCCAAAGCCTTTGTAACACTAAAAGACCATAAAAAAAAAATTTCAAAACAAACTTCCTTGTAGGTTATTTGTTACCTCAAAAAGTGAGATTGGACATGTAAGCAAAATTAAATTGGACAAATTAATAATATTCTTAGAAATAAATTAAATTTGCAACAGTGGAAAAATACCACTGATGTTATAAATTGGTTCTCCATAATCGAAAATAAAGATAACTGTATATTTATTCAATTTGACAATGATTTTTACCCTCCAATAACTGCAGATATTTTAAATAAAACAATCGAATTTGCAAAAAGCCACACAGTTATTCCTGAAGTAACAATCCGTATAATAAAATATTGTAGAAAAACCTTACTTTACTTTAATAAGGAATCTTGGAAAAAGAAAAACATACACGACTGCTTTGATATGACAATGGGCAGTTATGTTGGAGCAAAAATTTGTGAGTTTGTTGGACTATACATTTTAGGTTTAATTAGTAAAATAATCAATATAAATGATTTAGACCTTTATCGTGACAATGGTTTAGTAGTAATGCGTAAAAAATCTGGTCCACAGCTCGATATGATTTTAAAAGATATTATCAAAATTTTTTAAAATAATGGCTTTCAAATCGAAATAAACATAAATTTAAAAATTGTGAACTTTCTTGATGTCACATTTAACTTCTCTGAAAACTCATATAAGTCTTTCAAAAAACCAAACGATGAATTATTGTATATTAATATTAACTAAATTCTAAAACAAATTCCGATTTCAAACCAAAACTCCTCTAATGAAAATGTATTTAATTCCTCCAAACGAATATTTGAAAATGTCTTTAAAAAAAGTGGTTTCAAAAATTTTGAGCTAAAATTTGACCCTGAAAAAAAAAATACAAAAAAATGGAATAGAACTAGAAATGTAATTTGGTTCAACCCCCATATAGCAAAAATAATTCCACTAACGTAGGAAAAGTGTTTTTAAAATTTGTCGATAAGCATTTCCCTCACTATAATAAATTGCATAAAATTTTTAATCGAAATACAATTAAAGTTAGCTACAGTTGCACATATATATATATATATATATATATATATATATATATATATATATATATATATATATATATATATATATATATATATTTTCAAAAGTTGTTAGACGTATAGTATTAGATATATTAGCGCTTAAGTGTCTCATTTTGCCCCTCGTTACGCTATATATATATATATATATATATATATATATATATATATATATATATATATATATATATATATATATATATATATATATATATATATATATATATATATATATATATATATATATATATATTTTTTTTTTTTTTTTCAAAAGTTGTTAGACGTATAGTATTAGATATATTAGGGCTTAAGTGTCTCATTTTCCCCCTCGTTACGCTATATATATATATATATATATATATATATATATATATATATATATATATATATATATATATATATATATATATATATATATATATAAATATATATATATATATATATATATATATATATTATATATATATATATGTATAAATATATATATATATATATATATATATATATATATATATATATTTATATATATATATATATATATATATATATATATATATATATATATATATGTATATATATATATATATATATATATATATATATATATATATATATATATATATTTATATATATATATATATATATATATATATATATATATATATATATATGTATATATATATATATATATATATATATATATATATATATATATATATATATATATATATATATATATATATATATATATATATATATATATATATATATATATATGTATATATATACTTTAACTTATAGATTTCAAAACACTTAGCAAAACTACCTCTATTGTATTACCACTTACCAGTTGTGAGATCTTGTAGAACTCTTTTAGTTGCGTTTATTGAAAAAGCATTAAAAATCCTGAAAACATTTGAAAAGTAGATTTTTTTTAAATCCAACGTTTTGACTGCAGCATCTGTCAAAATGTTCGTTTAAGTTCATAAATATATGTTTTTTTCTATATTAAAGTTTTATAAGTTAAACAACGCAACCATATAACGTTTTAATACATTAGATAGAAATTTAATACGTTAGATATTTTAATACATTGAATAGAACTACAAAATTTGTTAAATAAATTTTAGGTTCAAATAAAGATGGCCGTCCATCAATTAACTTTTTTGATTGCTCTTTGAAAATTAACAGTCTAACCGTACAAATGAATGGAAAAGACAAATGGCTTTATGATTTAATAAATCCTCTTGTTGAGTCGACACTCGAAATTGTATTTTCTCAACTTGTAAGTTATTTTTTTTTAAATACCTTTAATGCATTATTTAACTTGTTTCACTTTACGTAGTAAATCAATGATATATCATATATACAAGATATCTAACTTCGATCCGAAAAGTGAAACTGAAGTTAGAAATGGGCAAAATATTATATAGCTGATGTTCTGAAAGACATTAAAGATGGCTTTCAGAACATTAACTATATAATATTTTTCTCTTTTTACAAATAGCAGAATAAGTTTAGAATGCAAGAAGCAAACTTAAAATTCAAAGTCATACTTCAAACATAAATTTCGACTTAAGTGTATGCGTGTTAGTGTTTCGACTTAAGTAAATGCATAAATTTCGACTTAAGTGTATGCGTGTTAGTGTTTCGACTTAAGTAAATTCATAAATTTCGACTTAAGTGTAGCAAAGTTAAACTTATGTTATACTTGAAAACCGATTGTCTCAGTTTAAACTTAAAATTGCTACTTGTAAAAGCAAAAATCACATTATAGTTAATTTTTGAAGTCTTACTTGAAAAAGTTAGGCTTCAAATTTCAAGTCGAACTTTACTCAAGCTCGCTTCTTGCATTCCACTCTAAATTTGTAAACAAAATATGCGGCTTTACTTTTCGTCCTTTAAAATCCCGCGAATTATACGTCTGGTTTTTTTATTTATAAAATATTTTTTTGAACTTAAATTAGCATACGTATTTGTTGAAGCTTGATAAACAAAATATACTGGTAAAAATATTTTGCAAACTGATAATCCTAAACCCTAAGTTGACCAAAATTTGTCTTAAAACCTATTCTTAATCAACAAAGTTGAATGTTTATTTCATACAAAATCCAGCTATAAATTGTTTAACATTACATCTAAAAACAAATAGTATAAAGTATTATAATGTCACAACATTATAATACTTTATACTATTAAAACAGATAATTCACATAGGAGAGAAAATGTATGAAAATTTAAATTTACCCTCTCCTCATTATTTACCAAAATATTTTCTAAATGCATATTTTGATTACATTATTGAGAAGTATTTTACTTGCAATAATTTGTTGCAAACCTTTCTAATTAAATAATAGCTCAGAAATAAATTTCTAATAAGTTTAATTATAGCAATGGCATGTTTGCTTATAGGGGGTGGGGTTGGTACGTGAGGGGGGGGGGGGGGTGGGTGGGTAGAGGAGGCAGTTTGTATTATCTAAGATTTTCTACTTTTTCTTAAATTATTTTTTTATTGACTTTGGGCGCTTTATATTCATTAAACTTATTTTTATCATAGTAAAAAAGTACAAAAGTAATTAAAAAAAGCTTCAGGTTAATCATATGCTTGTAAAGCAATTACGAATCATCAACGAATGTTTGACTTATTGGACATATTTTCTCAACAATAGATGAGCTGAGCCTTAAATTTATTTTGAAAAGCGTCAACGACATAATATATAAGCATTACGTTTCTAATATAAAAATAGCTTTAGTCCATTCAATTTCGGTATTTTTCTAGAAATATATTTTCTCAAATAACTGCCAATCGCACAGTAAAGGGATTGTTGGCATCTAAATTGCTTATACACAAAATGGAAAATAATCTTTTTACATTTAACTCCACTGATATGTTGACTACCTGAAAGTAATGCATTTATTAATAAAATAAACAAGTATTAACAAGCGATCCAAAATTTCCGTCGCGCCGTACAGTACAAACACTGACAAGTTTCGCTGCAAGTCAGCACATATTGTTGAACAGTTGTAAATAACAAACATTGAAAAAATTATTAGATATCTCTAAGATACCTGATGGTACTGGTGTTTTGATGGGACATAAGAAAGTTAAATTCATAAAACAGGTCCGTGTCCTAGCATACTAGGATGACTGATATGAATGGGTTACTGGTATATGCATTCATATAATTGTCTTTTTTTTTTAATATATATTTCGTCGTCTTCATAATAAATTATTTACAATATTTTTTTGAGTTAAGATGTGATGGGAGCTGGCAGAAGACAAAAGTCTTATCATTCAGCTCCGTTTTATCATTTCCATATTAAACAAAAAGTAATCAATTATTATATATAATATTACAATCTCAGTAAAATAATATAAAGTACTTTTAAATAAAAATGTTACTTTTTTTTTGTGAATACAATACAACTTAAAAGAAAAAAATAAATAAAATATAAAGATAAGTAATAATGTAAAGGGGATGTCGCTTTTTAACAAAAGGACAAGTTAAAAAATAAAAGAGAATAAAACAAAAATTAAAATAACCCCTTCGAACAAAATGGATTGTGTAAAAACGTATACAATTCATTTTGTTTATTTTTAACTATAAAACTTAAACAAAACAATAATTGAAACACGATGTTTACATTTGCGCACACCAGTTCTAGTTTATATATTTTAATAAAATTTTCATAAAATTTTACATACCCCATAAGGAGGTCTAGTACATTCATTTTATAAAAAAAAAAATTTTTAAACACATTTTATGTGCCCGTGTACGAAGGGGATAAAATAGTATTTGAGATACGTCATAATTAAGTAACTGTTTTTTTAAGATTTTTTTAAAAGTTTAAATTAAAGTTGTAGTTTTACTATGGGAAAAATTTTTATTTTGGAGGAATAAGTCCCACAAATGTGGCCCTCGGTAAGAAATTGAGAATTCAGATTATTTTACATAGTTTTTGGTACCTGATAATTAAGCAGCGAATCCTATGTTTAATATTTATGATCTATAATAAAGAAAAGGTCTTCAAAAATATTAGGCAGCATATGATATTTTAATCTTAACATGAATAAAAGAATATTATAAATATTTAATTGGTAAACATTCAGCACTCCAATATTTCTAAACAGTGGATTGGCGCTGGTGTATTTATTTGCATTTAATAAATGGCAGCTAGTCTTTTTTTTTTTTTAAGATACAAGTTAGTCTTGTCGAATAAATGCTTGACCAAGCAATATTACAATACCTAATATAGCTATGAATAAATGAAAAGTAAATAGATTTTTAATAATTTTTATCCAATATATATCTAGTTTTATACATAATTGCAATGCTTTTTGAAATTTTATTTTCTATTAAGGTCTTTCCAACTTATTTGCTCATCGATTAAAACACCTAAAAATTTAACACAAAAAGTCCGTTGGAACTTGGTTTTTTCTATTGAAATATCCGGGAGTTTTAAAGGCAACGTGTTAGGTTTAGAAGATTTAGAAAAGAGAGTTTATTTGCTTTTAGTAGGGTTCAGAGAGAGAGTTTTATGTCTTTAAACCATTCATTAAGGTTATCAAGATTGTAAAGATGGTAAAGATTGTCTTAATGTTAGAGTGAGTATAAAAAATTTGAGTGTCGTTAACAAAAAAATTGAAGTTTAGTATACTAGATGATAAGTAAATATTGTTGATATAAACAATAAACAATAAAGGCCCTAAAATAGATCCTTATAGTACTCCGCAGGTAATGTTTTCTAATTTAGTGTAGGTTTTATCATAAGATACACATTGTTTGTGATTTTTAAGATAGGAACAAAACCATTTAAAGTTATAATTTTTGATTCTATAACATTTAATTTTGTAAAGAAGAATATCATGGTCCACAGTATAAAAGGCCTTTGAGAGGGTAATAAACACTCCAAGAGTGTATTGGTTGTTTTCAAACCCATTTAATATTTCTTTAACTAATTTAATTACTGCATGTTTTGTCGAGTGCCTTTTTCTAAATCCGTACTAATTATTTTTTAAACTGTGAGTGGATAGTTGTAAAGTCTATTATGCAATAATGGAATCACTCTAGCTGGTTCCAAGAGATCAAGAAAAACTCATTTTTTAAATAAAATACTAAAAATAATAAGTACCCAGTGGGCACTGGACCTAAAAAAGACGTCTTTTAAACGTTCAAAAGACGTTCAAAACGTTCGAAAGACGTTCAAAAGACGTCAAAAACTTGTGTATGACGTTTAAAAGACTTTTTATGTCTTTTTTACATCCGTGCCCACTGGGTATGGGGTATTTAATAATATAAAAAACTTCTTTAACAACCGTAGGGCGTATACCATCAAGACCTGCGCTTTTGTTTGGTTTTGTTATATTAAAAGCAAACCAAAGTTTATCAGGCTATACCTTTTTTTTTTTTTTTATTTTGTTCTTTTATCAAAATTTTACAAATACGTGATCATAATATAAACTGATTCGTTTACAATAAAATAAAATATCTTACATATTATTTAAACTTTTTTCAGTACAAATATTGAATTTAGCACAAATAATTAATATAAAAGTTAAAAGAACGCGGGAAACTTGCAGAAGACCAGACGGTGTTGTCATCAAGAAACCGCTTGTACTTGTAATATTTTTTTGTATTTTCGTTTTACAATGTTTCTAGTTTCACAAAATACTTCTTTTTAAATTGGATTCATTTATAATAAAATAAAAAAAAAAGAAAGAAAAGAAGTTGGTAAATGCTGTTTGTAGTACACATAATACACATAAATATGTTAGGCATAAATATAATTATTACTGATTTATATTGACTTTTTTATAGAAATATATATTATTGAAGTTTTTTGGGATTTTGTTTTCAACGCTAATTTTGGTTCTAGTTTCAGTTTTAGTTTAGTGTAAGTTTAAATAATTGCTTATATTTAGTACGAATTTTTTTAGTAAGATTTTCAAACAATTTATGCTATCTAATTTTGTAATTATGACATGTTTGGATATCAGTTTGTTATAGAGATAGGGACCGCGATATGAAATTGTAAAACGCGATTGTTTTGTTTTTCTGAACGGTATATTAAAGTTTCCTACTTCTCTAGTGTCATTTCTATTTCTATTGCTTTTAAAGAATTCATTTAAATTGGTAAATGTTAATTCTATAAACGTTTAGTGCATTAAGGAGTTTTAACAAAGGTTCAGCATGAGTAAGTTTATCTTTTTTATAGACAATTCTAACGGCATGTTTTAGATGTCCATAAAGTGATTTCAAATTGGATTAATGGGTACTTGCTTAT